TTTTTTTTTTTTTTTTTTAGCATTTCTGAACACAATTGAACGAGATCTCAGGAGGTCCCTTCCTCATTAAAATAGTTTTTCACCAGTTTTTTTCTCACAAAAATATGGTTTACAACCTAGTTTTTTGTTTCCCAGCTACAAAGTGCTTATGCTGATTGGCTAACAAACGTCTTCCTAGTCATAGGCCAAGCAGGCTAACAATTGTCCTCTTATCAAAGTCTGTTTTCTGGAAACATCTATTATATCAATATATCCCTAGAATAAAACCACCAGGCCAAGAAATGCTGCTCTGATTGAAGAACAAGCTGGAAAAAAGGTCTCAATTTCAAAATTCCATCAGAGGACGGAGAAGGTGGGAGTAAAAATGACTCCTTCCTTGTAGACTGAAAATGATGTTCATCCTGCCTCCCACCAACACGATCCCCATCCCACTGCCACACCCACTCCTTTAAGAGCACATCATCAATCAGTCGAAAATCCACATCCACCAACTGGACACCAGAAAATCCTACATTCCTGAATCCACATACCAAACTGCTCAGATTGCAGCAGCGATCCATCTATCGCTCTGATCCATCAAACAACAATGGGAGCAATAATGCATTGCAGATGTTTCAAGCAGTCACTGTAATGAATGTTCGCCACATCTTGAGGGTTTCTGCTTATGCAAACAGAAAAAAAGGCAGATTTTGCTTTTTGTTTGCCATAAAAAGCAATCATATATTTACATATATACGTATTTGCTATGTATGCATATATATAAATAAATATATCAAAGATTGCAGATTGGTCTATTGTCACATACATTGTGAGAATTCAATATATACACACATATATATATACAAACTACAGCCAGACCACAATGTCCATATCTGTGCAAAATCACCCTGACAGACAATGAAAGACCAAAATAATGGATTCCAGATCCATGGAAAAATGCAGACAGACATTGGGTCCAAGGGCAGCAGATAATTTTCCACAGACCAAAGTCACCAAGACTGATCTAACAGAGCTTAGAACGCCACTTGGTATCAATAAACACATGCACGCTCGGAGATAATGCAATTTTCTTGTCATTTATTCAATATTCAAAGCATAAAAGTCATCTTTTTTTTCTTCTTTTTTTTTTGCTCCATGCACTATTTTTTTTTTCTTCTTTTTTTTTTTGCTCCATGCACTGGTGTCCCAGCCTCCTCTGTTTGCAGCACCATCCCATTCCCAAAAGTCAGCAGGGACTGCCAATGATTTCAATCCCGGAAAGCAGATCTAATAAATGATCAAACAGGAAATCACAGTGAGCGTGCAGGCTTACCTGTGCTTCTCTCTTAGCGTGTGAATGGGGTGGTGGGCCAGTAGGTAAGAACAGTGTGGTCAAAAAACTGCAAGTCTCTGGAGGAAAACAGAGAAAGAAGGAGAGAAGGGGAGGAGAGACAGAGAGAGAGGGGGGAAAAAGAGAGAGAGAGAGAGAGAGGGGTAGATGGAGAGACAGAAAGGGGGAGGAGGGGGGAGGTTGAGAAAAGGCCTCTCCTCCCTGCAGCCAGTCAAGACTCATAGAAATTGAGGATGACATCAGTGAAAAGTGTCCGTTGGAGCATCATCCAGAGACTGCGGCTGTGACTGGCCGTGAGCAGGTGCAACAAGACGTAAGAAAATCCGACCACAAAAACAGGCAAATTGTTTACCTTAAACTTTTCACTCGGCGTTTCATGCTTCCATTAATTTTCCCTCCACAGTGTTTGCGAGCTCACGTTCTTATTGGGGAATATTGTGCACCAATGGAAAAAATTAACAAAGAAGACACACAGGAAAAGTGATGTCTGGAAAAATATTAAAAATGATTTCTGGCCGCCGTTTAACCCAGACGCCGGAGATGATGTAGACTAAATTCGACTGTGCTGCTCAAGCTGTGAACAGCTTTGGAAAATCTGACCAAAAGGTTTTAAGAGGCAGCCAGACTTGCGTAACACATGATGCAGACATTCCTTCTCTTCTGTTTTTCAACAAAGGAAAAGAAACTAGAAAAAACGTGTTTCTAACAGAAGTTAGCTCAGATTACAAAAAGTTTGCAAAGAAATATATCAATACAGAGTTTAATGTGTAAATATTAGCAAAAAGAAATACCATCTTGGCAAAAAATCCAAACAGCCTAAAACTTTTTGAAGCCAAGACATAAGCAAAGTGATAAATGATTTAGCTTCAGAATATGTAAATATAGACGAGTTAACTAAAACATAAGCAATAGCTCAAGATAGCCAAAATAAATACTTATTTATTAATCTAAAAGCTATAATATCTATATAATATAGTGAGATACAGCTATAGATAAGTTCAAGCAAATTTGTTAGCTTTAGTTAGCAAACATGCTAATTAGGTAAAAAATAGCAAAGAAAGGAAACAATGCGATCAAAAGCTAGCAAAAAAAATATTATTTTGTAAATACACTTAAAAATACTTATAGTACAACTATTAGGTCAAGATAGTTCTACGAGAACCAACAGTTAGCCCACGTGTGGGGAGAACTGGAACTGTTTTTTTATAAGCTGTACAGCCAAAAGTTCACTCCAGTAAATCGGTAAAAGCTAAACTTAACTTAAACTTTTACTTAGTAAAAATGGACAAAACCCTAGAATAGAGAACACACCTATAGTGAAAAGAAATCGGTAAAAGCTAAACTTAACTTAAAGTTTTACTTAGTAAAAATGGATAAAACCCTAGAATAGAGAAACACCAACACAGCTATGGTGAAAAGGCCGAAAAAGTGGCCAAATGTTTCTCCCATTTGCTGCTGGGCATCAGTCACGCCGTCAGAACCTGCTGAGAACTGACGACTGGATGTAATTGGTCGCAGTGTGGTCTGTTATTATACTCCCAGCCCACTCTCTGCTGCCACAATGGGTGGAAAGATCTTCATTCTTCACATTCTGACTCCAAGTTTTCAATTTCCAGAGACGTCTGAAAGAAAGAGCTGAAGGCTGTGTTTCATTTCACTACAATCACATTCAGTTAGAGGATGTTTTTTGCTGTTGTTGTTGTTGCGTTTGTGTGAATAAAATGTAAAATCTGCTGCTGACAAAGTTCCAACAAGTGATTTCCAAAGGGGAGCCCGTAAAATCTGCTGCTGACAAAGTTCCAAGTGATTTCCAAAGCCCAAAAAAGAGAAAGAAGAAGAAGAAGATTTTTTTTACACTTCAACACTTTATTAACAATAGATGTAACAACTGTAAAACAGTGGTCCCTCTCCTATCGTGGTAGTTACGTTCCAAGACCCACCACGAAATGGGAAAAATAGTAGTAATAATAGTTAAACAAAGCTACCAGCGATGGTTCGCAAATGTGTTTATTTCAAAATGAGAATCCATATTTTTAAAGCCAAAAATAAAGGATGAGAATCCACATTTTAAAAGCCAAAAATAAAGGATTGGATTTAAAAAAAAATCTGCGATGTACTGAGGGAGCGAAAGGAGAACCGCGATGTAAAGAGGGAACACTGTATACAGAATAAAATAATCAAGAACCAATCAACAAATTCATTCAGGAACCGCACAAATCTCAGTTCGTAGAAGCAGAACAAAACACTAGGTGGAATAGCAGGAGAAAGGTGACAAGAACTGGAACAACAATAACGAGGACGGAGTAAACAAGGAGAAGACGAAGGTAGAAAGAAGAGTAACATCTAGAACTACAAGAAAGACCAACTAGAGTAGGAAGAGGCAAAGAAGAAGGAGAAACCATCTGAAGATCATCCTTGGAAGGTTCAAAGCAGTCAACCTAAACCAATGTGAAACTAAGAAGGCCTGTCTTCAACAACCACAGCCTGAGAGGCGAACACAAAATTCATGGGTTTGACAACATGGCCGACATTTGAGAATCTTAATCCCACCAAATCCATTAAATCCTTTCTGCTACTTATTATGTCGCAGTCTGGTGGAAATCTACGACCGACACAATAAAATGTGATGCAAATCGTGGTGAAATGCAAAACTGCAAATCTCCCCACTTTGGCATCATTAAGAGAAACCAAACAAGTTACAAATTAAGCACAAACAAACGTGTCAGGAGAAAAAGTGTCGGGAAAAGTCAACGTCTGCCATCTGGTCCAATGGAAAGGATGTGAGTGGAGTGAGACAGACGTCAACACGGTCATGGAGAAAGGCACGGTGACTAAGCAGAACGACAGAATGTTTGTTTTTTTCCATGACCAACCTGGAACAACTTAAGTCTGGTTTCACACAGAAACACTGAGGTGAAAACACAGCGACCTCAGGGAAATAAATGTTTTTAGGCAGATCGCTGACGAAGGGGGTTTCAGTCTGGGAGGACGGAGCAGATGGTGATGACATAACAGGGGTTCGACCTGTGTGGAGATGATAGTCTGATTGGCTTATGTAAGCCAAGTGGGTAGTAGTGATAGTAGGTGCCGTGTGTTATGAAACCTTACGTAACACCACGCATCACAGACGTAACACATCTGGCATCCATTGACGTTACGGGGGCACAAGACGGACCCTCTAGGTTGAAACCAGCTAAACCGCACCAGGAAGACCTACCAGGCTCCATTTGCTGCACCCCACACGACAGTGTCCGTGTCCAGACCAGGGCCATGTGTCTGGATGACCCGTCGACTACGGTCCTCAGACATGACCGTAGAAACCACATTGTCGGGTGGGTTTGGAACCCCGTGGCCACATTTCTAATAAGACGTTTAGCCGTCTATTTTCATGATGAATGAACAATTTTCCTTCCATTGATGAGCAATTTTAGCTTTATTTGTAGCGAGATTAGCTACCTCAGCTAGCCTATCTCTCGTTCTGCAATGCAGTCACTACATATTTTAAGCCTGTTTTTTTAAAACAGTTGTCTTGTTATTGGCTAACTTTCAACCATTTTTAACTTCAATATCTCGATACTTAATGGCGCCTCCTAGTGCAGTTTAGTTGCACTTTAGCTATGCATTTAGAATTTTTATAACAATTTCTTTGGGACTACTGTTATTTAAGAAATAAGAATTTTGGATAAAATGTTTGGGCTAAACTATTATTATCTTTTTGGCTAACTTTGAGCTACAATTTTTAGCGACTCCTTGCTATATATCTACAGTAAACCTTTAGCTTGAAATTGCATGTTTTTGACGGTTTTTGAATGTGTGGGAGAACGTCACCGACATCGTACTCCCTACACAGACACCAGGAGTCAAGACAACAGAGTTGATTTTCTTGCTGCTAATCCAAACCAGCTACCATTTCTGCCACAGTGTGGCCCTCTATCTCCATTGACCGATTTTAAAAACAAAGACATGGTTACATAGACATGGAGTGTGTGTTTCACTGGCCTGCCTGCAGTCTAGGCCTGTCTCTTTGTTTAATGCCAATAGTACACCAAGAAGCAGAGAGTTAGGGACACGACCCAGAGATCAACTTACGGTGCTAATCTAAGTTACTTTGCTTGAAAATGATTTTGCCCGACTTTAAATGATTATCACTTGACAATGACGGACTGTAGTTGTAAGTATAGCAACTTTTCTGAGAAAGGTGTTTGATTGATGCGTTAAAAATATATCTATATCGCAAAACTATCAGGATCTATCCTTCTGATCGCAGAGCTGCTCCGTCAATCCTCAGCACACATTACAGCACGAATGAGGAAAATAAAAAATGCACGTGATCCGACGGCACATGGATGAACCGAGCATGTCTCCTGGCAAAGCGAGATATTTTTGGACCCTCTTGGCACAGACACACAGAAGCTTCTAATAAAAACCCCAGACATCACTCAGACACCACCGCCTGCTCCGACCATGTGGTCGCACGGTTCTTAAGACTTAAGATCTTCCATGAGCTGGACTAATGATTTCATCACCTGCTCTCACAGGATCGCATGTACATGCACACAGCTTCCACCAGGGTTCAGACCCAAAGGTTTGTAACGAGGGTTACTAGCTTTTAGCAATTTTTAAATTCACTTCTACTTAATCACTGTGATATATTTGTTATCCATCCAAAGTAACTTATAGCTAGTTCAGGTATGCTACACTATATTCTAAGATATCTTACTAATACTTTACACCTATTTTTGTCTATTTGTGACTTCTAGTGTTTTGGCTTATATTTAGCACCTTTTCTGCCATTTAATAGCAGTTTTCTGGACCTATTCTGGAATTTATTTTGTAGTAATAATTTGGCTAACCTAACAGATATCAAAAGAATCTTTTTCAACTTTCAGACTCCAATCTCAAGGTTACTTTAAAATAGTGTCAAATTCTTGCATTTCGTTTCTCAAACTCTACCCTTACTGTATTTAGGTCATGTTTTCTAATTCATTTATTCATTTTTAGTTAGCTCAGTTTGCTAGTCACTAGCTAACATAATTAGCCACTGTAGTGGTACGGTCAGATTGCAATCTTTTAGTGTACTATAAATAAACAACTTGAACTTTGTTTTTTTTTTTTTTTCAGTTTTACCTGTTATAGAAGTTTAATGGACATAGTATTTGTTAACAGTTAAAAAACGTTTAAAAAACATCACGCTAAGGACAATTTCAAGTGATTCCAGATTCGCAAGAACTTTTTAAATATTGCAAGAAATATTTTAATATTTTTTAAAGGATTTCAACATGTTCTTGTGATGTTAATGGGATTATTAAAAATGCATTTCTTCTCTCACGTTACAGATCAGACAGGTTTAATTTCCACATGTGGCCGTTTTTGATTCATGTTCGGTCTTGAAAACCAGCACTTGCCTCAATCTGTGGCACAGATGCTTTCACAGAAGAAGTCTTTTCCCTGTCTCTTCGTTCTGACACAGTCAAGCTGCTCAGGTTACTTTGGTCACAGAAGCGCCACAAGACACTTACTTTATCATGCTACACACACACACACACACACACACAGGTGGAAAAAGTGTTTTTAAAAAAGGCTGTTACGCATCAAAACACACAAACACTGGCAGCGAGCCTAAAGAAACAGCTCTGTTTCAGCGCTGATGCCCTGTCAGATAGGGGAATCGGGTTGCAAGGAAAATAGAAATAGTTGTTCCAGGCACCACCACATGGGGGCGTCAGATGGATGTTTGCTGCGCAGCGCTTGAACACTGAAGCTTTTCAGTCTGGAAAAATGACACAGAGCCGAGTCATATCAGAGTGGTTAGATTTAGAGCCAGATATAACGAAGCGTTTCCTTTTCTGGGATAAACTCTACACTAAAAATGTGTCCCATGATTCAAAGGGTTCACTGTCAATGACAAAAGTTAAAATAAGAGTAAATACACTTTTTAATTAATTATTTTACCCCTTTATTTGGATTATATATTCAAATCTACTACCTAGCTAACAATGTTGACTTCCACTCCAGCTTCTCTCCTCATTGGCCAATTTAATGCTCATTTTCTGTTAGCTGGAGTGAAGTTTATCCTTTTAAAATTTTCCACCAAATAAACATGAGTGAATTTACACTTCTTTCTACTTTTGGACTTACCTTGTTGCTTAGGGTTTGTTTACTAAGTTATGATCCAAGAAAAAGCTACTTCCATGCTAATGTTCCACAAACAATCAATAATTGTATTTATTAGTAGCTATTTTAGCTAATGTTTGTCAAATTATGTTAGTTTTTTAGCTACCATCCCAACGTCCTCTCATCTTTGTAACTGTGTTATTCCTAAATGCCACAGCCATCACCAACCTTTCAGTAATGCTAGCTATAATTAGCTATTTTTGTATTGTAGGCTAACGTTAGGGAACTTTTCGCTCTCTTCTATTCTGATGAAAGATGAATTTCAATGTAAAACATTAAGGTACAGAATAAAGAATCTAAACGTTATTTGACCAAAGGTGAAAAGTTATCGTACAACACAGCAATGCCAAGACAAAAGCAGAGCAAAGAAAAATAAAGCAAAGCAAAAAACATGGCCACACTAATGATTTCAAATTAGCCCTAAGCAAATCTTAAATGTTAGCCAAAACAAACTCAAGTGAAGAGAATCCAGGCCAGAAATAGCTCAGGGTCTGTTAATAACAATAACAACAATAGCTTAAAGTTAGCTGCCGCCCCCCCCAAAAAAAAACTTGATTAAATGTTCTGATAAAAGTATCCAGGAAGCCATTTATAACAACAAACGATAATTACACACAGGCATTGCCTATTTTTAAAATCTGTTTTCCTGGGAAATTGATTAAATATATGGACTCTGAGCCAAAGCACTGTAGAAATAAGCAGCCACATCTCAGGTTTCCTACAATGACTCCTCCAGCAGGACAGTTTTATAAACGGTGTCCAGTGCCCACTCATACCTGCTCAACACTCGGATCGAATCCCGCACGCAGAATCTAACCCTGATGACTTCCTCACCTGGATTATTGAATGCAGCCTCTGTGCGTTGCAACATCTGCTGTGTGATTTATTGTTATCAGATGACAGGAAGCAGAGCTTTGTCTAAAGGAAGCATACGAGAATGAAAGTGATTAGTGTGAAAGTGATTAATAGAAGTTTAACTGAAGACAGATTTGAGGTTTTCTATTTTCTATCTTGTTGACAGCTGCCTTGGAAAATGCCCCGTGAGATTCCTATTGGATCTTCTACCTCTCAAAAAAAAAAAAAAAAAAAGAAGAAAATTAATTGACGCTTGGGTGCTGCGTCTTTTCTTGTGCGTGGTGTCACTCTTTCTCTGAAGGCGTCCGACCCACTTTCCCATTGACCTTCCTTCCTTTCTCTGAAGGCGTCCGACCCACTTTCGGACGACCATTGACCTTCCTGCAGAGTTCCATTCACGTGGAACTGCACTTGCGTTGTTTCTTCTAGGCTCTTCTTCGCCAAAGCTCAGCAAGTAGGTGGTTCCAAAATTTGGAGACACCATTAATCATGAACAGATTCCAAAAGCTCGACTTGCAGAAACGCAGCCCCGGACTTGCAAGGAACCACATCTGCATTGACACTGACAGCACTGACGCCTTTGGGCAAACGCTTCACACTGGCACATGTAGCAGAAGCCTGATGATGTATGGAGTGTGAACCACACCTGAATATAATAAACCAATAAACTCCAGTGTGAAGATACAGAAAATACTACCTTGATGTGTACTTTCAAACACAAATCCCGTGAGAATCACTGCAATACTTAACAATTAGAAAGAATTGTATGAGCATTTATTATGAACGCCTAAATGTTTTTTTTCACACCTGTAAGTGTACTGCAAGGAATCCTCACCCGAGTACATTTTTACCTCGGCATCCTCCTCAGAGTGAAGCCAAATACTACAGCAGTTCCTGTAGGAACATCTATCTGTGCAGTAGTACTCCTTCTCATACATACAGCACAAGTCCCAGCCAGTCCTTGTCCATATGAGCCCCATATGGTGGTGGGAAATGAACACGTGTTTAGAAACTGGTTTCAAATGGTCTGAGTCCACATTGGGTTGAGCCAGTTTGGCCCATACGGACACTCCGGACGTCACATGTCAGCCCAGGAAGGCAAATTCAAAAATCTTTTTCCATTAGTAATTTTATTTTGTTCAGGACACCTTAGCTGGAGCCCTTGCTTCCGTGGGAGGGAGGAAAGAAGGGAGGGAGCGGGGAGGGAGGGAGGGAGAGAAAGAAAAAACACCTTTTTATTTGCTGATATATTACGTCTGCGCTATGGTAAGTGCTCGTGCCTTTAAGTGATGAGAATTTTTTTTTTTTTTTATACAGCATTTATATACAGCGTCTATACATACAACATTCATACCAGCGTGGGTGCTAATGGGCATGCCAGTCCAAATGCACCCTCCATTTTCTGCTGTACTTGTAAAAGAAACACATGAGAGAGAGAGCGAGAGAGAGAGAGAGAGAGAGAGGAACGATGGGCAGAGAAAAACAAAAAACGAGGGACATACAGTACATACAGGCATTAACAAGCGATTCCAGAAAGCACCAAATTCAAGTTGCAATGGAATTTAAAAACAGACAAACAAACAAACAAATTTAAAAAAAAGAGCATGCATATAAATCTTTGGGAATGGCATTTGCTGGAGTCGTATATAGTTTATTATTCTACACTTTTAGAAGCCGTTTGACCTTTTTTTCCGTCTTTTCTCGACAAACAAACAGTGGCAGACGAAGAGCAGGAGATGGAATGTGATGAAGATTACAAACACAAGAAATCACCATCGTGATGGAGAGTCACGGTGTCTGATTTTTTTTTTTTTATATCTCTACTTGAATTGAGCACAATACAAATAGAAGGTTCCTTTTCACGGAGTGCAGCGTGGTAGTCATACACTGGGAATGCCATTCCTAGTACACAGGTAATATCTAATACATTCTAGTTATACCAGGTGTTAAAGGTTTTATAAAAAAAAAAAACACATTTTAAACCCCGTTCTGCCTGCTCTACAGGTCAGCCATATATTTTTTTTTTTCATTCCATGTCCGACAAGGTGTGCTGGTCCAAAACTGGGTTATATCACATTAAAATTCCTTATTCTGCTGAGAGAACGAGATATTACATCTGTTTGCCTGGGGAAATAGTGTTACAACATTAAAGTGAGATTATATTTGCAAAGTTAATGCTTGGTCCTACTGTATTATACCTGTGCTGTGAGTGAGAGCATCACCTTTGTAAATGGCCAGCGTTGGCTGTAAGCTGTGTACGTATGTAGTGTTTGCACCAACTTTAAAGCTAAATATTGAAAAATGATATGTTGGGTTTAATTTGGAAGAGGATCAGGGACAGATGTCATTTTTAAACAAAGTAGTTGGGATTTTGGAAGAAAAATAGAAATGTACCTTTGTTTCCACAGAATTCTGAGATTGTTTTATTTCTAATTATATTTCAAAATATTAGTATTAAAGTCACAAAATGCACAGTTTTGTTTTAGAATTGAAGAATTCTGAAAAAAGAAAAATCAGACTTCTTTTATTCTATACACTGCGTAAACTGTTCTGGGTATCTTATTTTTCTGAGATTTTTTTTTCTTTTTTTGCTGGACTCATGACACGAATTCTGACTTATTTTACAAAGAACATCGAGATCATAGCCAGCACTTTCATTTTTTTCCCTTGACACTTCTTTCAAAACCTAAAATTTGAACTTTTTACCTCTGAATCGTGACTGCAATCCCAGAATTCTGCAGTAAAAGTCGATCTCTTTTCCCATGTGACCCTTACTCTCCTCCGCAGCTAAAGGTCCACACCCACTAAAGTTTTGAAATGAGCATGTCATTGAATTATGTCATCATGTGTGTGGGGGGGCAGTGTCTGTAAGGGGTCAGTGTTGTGTGTGTGTGTTTGGGTGTGTGTTTGGGTGTGGGATCTGGGGGGGTTCGTAGTCAAACACGCACGCTCTACAAAACTTTCACGCACTTGTTCACAAACACACACACGGNCTACTTCTTCCTGTAGTTGCCCAGCTGGATGGCGGAGCGGTCGAAGACGCAGCGGAAGGTGACGGGCTGGACTTCCCAGTAGGCCACGGGGTTGCTGAAGAGGCTGATGCCTGAGTACATGGCCTTCTTGGTGTTGAAGCCAGGAGGACAGAAGTCCCCTGTTCCCACAGCAGAAATCTTGTTGGCATGGAGGTAGACCACCTAGTGGAGGGATTTGAATAATAACAATCTTCTGTCACTGACGGCAATAATTTAGTCTGTTTCCAGATAAACAGGATGATACTAAGCCAGGAAATGAATAACAGCATTTATTCTCCCTTGAGGTTGTTTGACTAAAAGAAAAAGGAATAAACGGGGACCTGAAATATGGAGTAATACTGTGTCTGAGTCACTGAGGCAGGCGCCGAAATAAAAAAAAAAAAGAGCAGATAAAACGCATTCATTAGCAGTTAGCAGCTTAAAGGTGGAGGAGGTCCATTCAATGGTTGTTTCCAAGTCAGATTATTATATTTCATGGACTTGTTTTTCTGTGTTAAGTGGTTTAAACTATTGATGACTAAGGGTTTATAACAGTTCTGTGATGACCTGCCCAACTCTGCCTCTGATTGGCTGCTTGCCTTAGCTTGTTGGGTTGGTGAGAGAATGATCTTATGCTAGCAACGCCAGCTAGTGGCTAACAGTGCTGACAAATGACAATGTGAATGACTGCCGTACATTTTTACCGTTTTACATGTTATGTATTACATGTTATTTTTGGGAAACTAGGGCAACAGCGCTAAGCCTGCTATGCTAATTCTACTACTTATGGACAGATCATAATTTCAAAAATAGATACCACCAAAAAAAACCCAAGTAGTAAATAAAACCAAAGCTAATCTGCTAACATTTCAACATCTTTTAAATTAAAAAAATGTGTCATGGACTTTTACTTTTGGAAGCCAAAGAAAACGGACTTCTTCATTAGTTCAATAAAAACATACATATTTTTCAATATACGGTATGTTTTGGGCAAAACCTTTTGTAATAACCTACAGTATGACTGACTAATTACACTCCACACTATAAACAGAAACCAAGTAAATCCAGGTGACAGTGATTATCACAGCCGTCTAATCAAGAACCTAATCTTTCTAAACAAAGAAATGCAACGGAGTAAACTTTCCCAGCATGGTTTCCATCAGGAACAATAAAATATCTGTGACCAGGCCGTAAGACAACGAGCAGCACTGACTGGCTGAGATTAACAAGTTAATTTACTGGAACTAAATGGTAGCAGATACAGTCAATGCTGTAGTCTGTTTTCTCCTGTCCTACTCAGAAACTTTACCTGGATGTATTTGTGATCTGGCAGGCCGGGGGGAACGCTGGTCAGGGCGTTGTTGTCCAGGTGCAGCTCACGCAGGTGAGGGATGTTGGCCAGGGTTCCATTTTCCACAGAGCTAACCTCGTTGTAGCTCAGACCCAGCCTGCAAGTGCAAAGCAGATGTGGGAAATGTAAATATCAACATGTAGGGGAACTATGTCCAACATCTGACCCGTGAACCAATGAAGTGGCCAGGTTTCTACTGCTACAAATGTAGTTTGGTCTTCCCGTGAACCAATGAAGTGGCCAGGTTTTTACTGCTACAAATGTAGTTTGGTCTTCCATTTGGTCAATGGATTATTGCTATAGTAGTTTTATCTTTTTTGTAACATTACACAGTAGCTAACTGCTGTAGCTAGGCTAACATCGGTGTGCTTCTGTTACATAACTTGAAGATAGTAATCGAATGGTTCTGCCTTCTGAGTATCTTAATTGAACAGATGAAGGAAAGAAAGATGGGGAAATCACAGTTTAAATGTTTTTCAGCCACTTTAACAGACACGAAAACAGAAATCACAGTTTAAATGTTTTTCAGCCACTTCAACAGACACAAAAACAGAAAACAGCAGCAGCAAAAAAAAAACAAACAAAAAAAAAAACTGACAAAAGCTTTCTCTGTTCTAGAAAAAAAAAAACAAAAAAAAAACTCTGACAAAAGCTTTCTCTGTTCTCTCTCGCATCTTTGGCTCAATCTGAGCAATGTTCCTATAAACACAATCTACCCAGCTTTATAAGCAAACGTCATTACATTAGCTTCAAAGTGCTGTTTAGGTTTTAGCTTCAAGAGTTCTGGTGTATTTCAGTCAAATCACATTAATCCTGTTTTTATCATGCTCTTAGGGCATCTGTTAAATCCCATTGTTTGAAAACCTGCCTCTTCAGAGCTGTGATGCTTTCCACCGCATTACAAGGTTTTCCAATCTACTGACTAAGAATATCACCTTCAAATCAGTCACATAAAATGGAAAAAAAATGACTAAAAACACTTCAAAAGGCTGTTAAAGGAGAATTTGTACATTTCACCTCCTTATTTTTGGGAAATTTATTAAATCATCTGTGTATGTTTTAGGCTCAGGCTAATTTATGTTAGCTTACGGTTCTCTAAACCACAGACAGCTCCAACTGTATTGTAATAAGGGCAACAAAATCTGTTTATTTTAATGATTGCCGATGTAAAAACAGATAATCAGCTGATTGGAGAAACCATCATTTAATTTAGATTTAAATTAGCTAAAGGCTAGCCCTCACTGAAACCTAGCCAAACATCGTCAGTTAACCAGAAATACAGAAAACAGACAGAATATTAGTTTGCCAAAAACCTAAAAAAAAAGCTAAAGTTTTACTTAAATTGTCGTGTAAAAAGCTAAAAATCTCGGAACTATGTTGAAGTCAGGTTTTCCAAACCCAAAAACAATGTGACATCTGAGAGGAATTATGTGTAATTCAGTTTGCCGCTGCAGATTAGCGTTGTAAAGGGGGAACATTTTTATTTTTCAGTACTTAGCCAGGTTCTTCAGGCCTTTGAGTCTGTCTGCTGTCACTTTAGTGATTTTGTTTCCATCCAGGTGGAGCTCAGACAGGGAGCTGGGCAGACCTGGCAACCCGCAGGAGAAGACGAGGATTAGCAGCAGAAACTCAGCAGCTCATGACGTACATTAGGTACGACGTAAATTAAAATGATAGAATAGGTTCTGTTTTGACTCAGCTGACTGATATTTGTGCAGGTACCTTTGGGGATCTCTGAGATGTTGGTGTCGGCGATGCGAATGTAAGAGACCCGTTTCAGGTCGGCAAAAGCGCCGGCTTCGATTCCAGCGCTCTTCAGAGGGTTTGATCCAAGCTCTGACCGAAAAACAAGGAAAAAGATGAAAGTGTTTACACGAAATGTGAAACCACCAAAAGAGAAGAGAAGAAAAGAAAGAACAGCAGTAACACATCACAGCTAACCTAACTCCCCTTCTGGGAAGATGGAGCTGAGTCACACATAAACAAAGTCTTGGGCAAGAGAAAGGGCTTGTGTTGCAAAACAGATTCATGGTCAAAGGACGGTCATACTGACACACTCACACTGAAACACTGGAATGACTCAAGACGCCTGAACAGACACAGTGGCTGTGCCAATGACAGTACAACCAGACCTGTGAGTGTTCACATCGGCCATGACTACAGGGACCCTCCCCAACAACAGCTGAGAACTGTATAATGACATTAAGTTTCTTACAACATGGAAACGACAAGATGAGTCAAAATGACCATGTTTTTATCCATGTTTAAATGTCTGTTTAAACTGGGCTAAAATTTTTGGTACAGCCTAAACTATCAATAGTACTATGGAGCATGACTCAGTAAAAGGCAACTCAACTCAGATGCAGAAGAAGACAATGGTGCTTGGTTGCTGCTTTGTTAGTACTTTGCTGTTGGCAAGCAACACATTTCACCACAGTCTCATGAAGAGCAGCATATTTTCAGTTCATAAATTTAACTTTGCATGTGCAAGTCTCCAACACCTGACCCTAACATTGTGACTATCAATGCCTCTCTGCCTGCACTGGAGACCCTAACATTGTGACTATCAATGCCTCGGTGCCTGCACTGGAGGATGATGCTGCTGTTAACCTCACACAGTTTAACGGCCAGTAGCTATTAATAAATCAAACCAATATAACAGCAATGAACCACCTGGGGCTTTATTGAACCCAAAATATGCTGCATCTCATTGGTGTTGCTCACCAGTTACTGACGCCTCAAAATACTTAAACTTATCTGCCACCTGATGCTGATTTATTATGAATATGATGCAATCTGAAAACTAACTGAAGCCCCAATTGTCCTTCGGTCTATTTCTCTTAAGGCAGTAATGACAACCTCAACACGACCAAAACAGTTTTTCCAAGGCTCTCCAAACTCATTAAGAAATGTTTTTTTGGTCTAAAACCTAGTGAGATTTATTTTTCTCCTAGACTTCTTTGGTTCCTGTTGAGCTCATGGACACAACTCAGACTACGTGATCCAACATTGGAAAATTAAAACTTCTCCAAGCTCCTTGGCTTTCATGCTCTTGGTGGTAAAACATGTATGTTTTTTGTTCGTCTTACCCATGACAATGACATGGGACATGCCCTGGAAGGAGGACTTTTTGATCTTGCTGATGGCGTTCTCGTGGATGCGCAGCTCCTGCAGGCTCTTGGGCATGTTGGCTGGCATGTCCTTCAGCATGTTCTTGGACAGGTAGAGACGCTGCAGCTTAGCCAGAGGGCTGAAGGCCTTGGCGTGGATAACTGTGATTTTGTTGTTCACCAGGATCAGAGCCTGGAACAGAAGAAACCGAGGAGTTGAGATGTTGGATTTTATTCTTCTCACCTTTGCCACTCATTTCTCGCAGCGTGAAACAATGAACCCTCAGCCTTTGGTGTTGGTTTACAGTTTTCTGTTTTATTCCAGTCAAGACTAGTTTTGTTAAAGTTTATGTGGCTCACCAGAATGTGAACTCTATTTGAAACCAAACTCCTGAGTGGATTGGACTGAACTTTTTCACTCCGAAACAATTTCTGCAAATGCACTGGGGGACAGTAAAGAATGTGTACTTTCCAAAAAACAGGAAATTTTGAGCAGCGCAGCTGTTAAATACCTCAATGCACTGCATGCTTTTGTCGAGATGGTGGAGGGTGAAGTTGGAGACTGCTATGACTGATCCCTAAATTCGTTTTTCAGAGGAATCTCGCTCCTGCTGTTCCTCTCTTGTGT